GCCAACACACACATCCCTGACACTTCAAAACAATAGAGATAATACTTTCTCACAAATTAAACTACCAGCAACACTGAAACAGGAGAATATTTGTATACCGAGAAAAACCGCATAGCTAATAATTGAAAATTCAAGATTGAAAATGGAATGCATCACAATCAATTCCACTCCTGCTTTTCACAGAGGTACACTGTCAGAAAATAAAAAGAAGCAAAATAGAGTTATTAAGTACATTTTTTCTTGCATGGTTATTTATACTCCTTTTTAAAGGTTTATTTTATTTTTATTACAAAGTCAGATATACAGAGAGGAGGAGAGACAGAGAGGGAGATCTTCCATTTGATGATTTACTCCCCAGTGGCCACAACTGCAGGAGCTGCCAATCCGAAGCCAGGAGCCTCTTCCGGGTCTCCCTCGTGGGTGCAGGGTCCCAAGGCTTTGGGCCGTCCTACACTGCTTTCCCAGGCCACAAGCAGGGAGCTGGATAGGAAGTGGGACCACCAGAATTAGAACGAGCACCCATATGGGATCCCGGTGCATTCAGGTTGAGGATTTTAGGCACTAGGCTAACATGCTGGGCCCGGTTGTTTCTATTCTTAATTAAAATTAGGAGGCTAGGGCAGTTTATTTGCTAACACTTCAGATATAAAGGTAGACATCAGTCAAGTGCAAATATATAATCCTGAATATATTAAATATTCATTATCATATTCTTTTCCTTTACTTTTCACATAGCTCAAAGTATTCAATCCATGCATCTTTGGAATTGGCAATATTCTTGCTTTAAGGCATTCTCCATTGCATCTCCAATAAAAAAATAACTTCTCTCATAAAAACCATTTACTCAGCATGAGAGCCAATTTAAAATTAAAATATCATACTACAGAAACTACTTTTTAAAACATTCATCTTGGGCCCAGTGCAATAGCACAGTGGTTAAAGCCTTGAACGTGCCAGGATCCCATATGGGCACCGGTTAAATTACAAAAGCAAACAGTACTGGAAACACTAACAGTGACCTATGTTATGTGGTCAGGAAGGTCGTACTTTTTCCTTGGTAGTTCTAATCTAACATCTGTTTTTGAAATATTCTGTGTAACTAGTCCATTCTCTATTTGTTCCTGACATCACATTTCTGATCAATCTGCCAAATTAATTTTTGGAGTATAATTTTTAAGTACAGGAAAAAAAAGTTAAATATACTTGCTCAGAACCATCTGCAAGAATACCCCCACCAAAAAACAAAAACAAAAAAAATCTTTTCTTTGCACAGAAACAGCCTCTGTCCGTTCAGTTGAGAATAAGTTCAAGCTATCGATAACCACTTTCAGTAACTGCCAATGCATACCCTAAGAGATGAAACAGAGTATGTCATTTCATTGCTGTAACATGAAAACTAATTCAATTCCATCATGTTAAGATGTGTGTGTGAGAAATATTTCATTCATCATAGGAAGTCTGCTGTTAACATTTCCTGCATGAAATCCCAAGAAACTACTTGAAATCACACAGTTGCTATGAATGCAGGCTCTACTATGTGATTTCTGTGCACAATTACTGTGGGGGGAAGCCAAGACAGTTATTATGGGAGAGACACTATTTCCTCTTTGTAAAATTTCTTTTCAACACAACAGGTAATTCTCAGCATCTCAAGAGACACCAGCACAGGTACCACTGTGCGCAGCCATGTGAAACTCCTGCTTACAATCAGTCACAGCCTGCCTGCACTCCTGGCTGTGTGACAGCACAGGGGGACAAAAAACACAGTCAGTTCTGTGTGAATCCAAATAAGCTGGGACATGGAGGCAACTGTATTCGAGATCAGTAATGCTGTCACTCTTCTCACCGTCTTGTAGCTAATCTCCCCTTAAAGTATGAAGTAGATAACATGATTCCCACCTGTACATGGGGAACTGATATTGAAATTATTTCATTTACTTGCTAAGAGAAAAAGACTTAATCATCACAGTATTCCGCCTCCCATTTAAATCTGTCCTCTTAGTAACTGATTTTCTCGCGTTTTAAAGGTCATATGATTAGTAACAGACATTTCTTAGACTTGTACCAACATGTAGAAAGAGCCGCAGTAGTTGTCATACCAAGATTAAGTTCATCCCAAAAGCCAAACAGAAATTTTGTTTGAAGATAGCATTAGAAGGAATAAAAGCAAGCAATGAGGAGAAAAGGGCTTGTAGAGATGGAAACAAACATCCTAAACAATCTGACAAGATCCAACAGAGAGAGGCTTTTCATGAGCACACAAATACTCAGCTCTCCCGTGCTCTCACTAACCGACATCACCAGCATATCCAGCCACTTTGACCACTTTTGTGACTGTCAACAGTAAACATCATCTTCATTCTCACATAACTCCAAGGAATATACAATCTATAAGTTAAAAAAAAAAAATCAGCCAGCATGGTGGTACAGTGCATTAAGCTGACACTTGCCAAAATCAGTTTCCTATATCTGAGCACCATTTGAATCCCAGCTGCTGTGTTTCCTATCCAGCTTCCTGCTAAGGTGCCTAGGAAAGCAGCAGACTAAGGCCAAAGTACTTGTACCCCTGCAGCCCATGTGGAAAATGCAGAGGGAGTTGGGGACTACTTGCTTCACGTGGCCTAGTCACAGCCACTGCAGCCACATGGGGAAGCCGACTACCCATTGATTCACTCCTCAAATGGCCACAGTGGTCTCCTGCATGGGTAACCTTGGGGTCTACAGAGCAAAAATCCAAAAGTTAGTCTTCTGGACTCAGGAAGGCGGGTCAATATAGAACTATGCTTGACCGGTAGTTTGTACACACAGAAGCAGTCAGTATAGGGAGTATTTAATGCGGTGCCCAATTCTTCATTGTGCTTAATTCCATCTCAATGAACTTGGGAGAGATGCAGTAGTCTGGGACAAAATTCTATGCTAGGTGTTCTCTACCAACTTCCACTTCTGATGTGGTCTGCATCATCACTGATTTGCAAAAATATGAGCCCAGCAGTCCATCCCTAAGATTTACAGGATCCCAACTAACTGAACTGCATAATTTTATTCCAAGTAAGAGGAGGGGAGGTAGAAAAGAAAACAATGTCTCAAAGGTAAATATATAAGAAAAATAACTATTAAACCATAAAATATCAATAAAAATATTTAAAATCAACACAAAAGCCACAGATTAATGTTATCTTCCTCTGACTAGTACATAATATGTTAAAGCAAAATTAACATATCTGAATCAAAATATGTCAAAGGTGTGTATGTTCTACTTCCACAGTAAGAACAAATACAAACTGGTGGCGGGCAGGGAGCATACAATTTGTCTATTTAATCATGGTGACAGAATCTTCTTCCTATATAATATGAAGAGAACTTCATTGTAAGATATATGATATTAAGGTTATTTTAAAAGAAACAAAACAAATAAGATGGCAATTCAGAAAGTATTTAAACATATTTTGATGAATGTAAATAACTTCAATAATTAGCACACACACATTTTCTGACAATAGAAAAAAATGTCATAGCATAGCCATGGAGTCAACCCTAGACAGGAAGTAACTGACATCATAACTTTTATCTCTCAGCGGGTCTGAGTTTTTATGTTATCTAATATCAAAAGAGCCTGTGTACATTGTACACATGGTATTACCATAGGCAATAATCTTCAGAAGCATATGAAATTATCAGCACTCTATTTTGAAATCAAATTTAAACAATAAGGTAAATCAGAATATAATGCTAAGATGTTGTTCTTAAGGAAATCACAAGGAAATTAAAGAGAGATATATTTGAGTAAATGTAGTATCTACTAAACCAATCACATCTAAATTCTTAGAAAATAAGTGGTTAAATGATAGTTCAAAATATCACAAGATAAATAACACCATTAGATGTGTGCATACAAATTTCAAATAAGTAGGCATGCTTTTGTGGTGCAAGGGAACACAGCAGCTGCCAATAATGATGGGATGCAGCAGCATCCCACGTAGGTGCCAGTTTCAATGCCAGTTGTTTCACTTTCATGAAGCTGCCTGTTAACATACCTGGGAAAGCAGCACAATGAGGCCTAAAATCTGGGTTCCCGTACTCATGTGAGAAAACCTAGATGGAATCACAGGCTCTTGGCTACTACAACCTGGCCCAGCCCCAATCATAGAGGCCACTTGGGGAGTGAACCAAGAATCTGGAAGGTCTCTTTCTTTTTCTCCCTTCTCAGTAACTCAGGTTTTCAAATAAATAAAGCTTTTTATTATCAAGTAAATAGAAACCATCTTCATGTGTAAATTTTCATTCACTATTTAGATGTGATCAATATTCACACAAAGCAAAACACACACCATACAATAAGCCAGGTAGAGCAGCTGCAGGCAAGAAGAGCCGTGTATCTGCCATGGTGTCCCTACCCCAGGATGGACATCTAGAACTGATCACTGAACCTTCCAACCTGAGTCAAGACACACCATTGTCACAGTGAACACTTACGTTATCCAGAATCAACAGATCACAAAATACCAGAGAAAACACATTATCTATCTCTAACATAGAGTCTGGTGACTTGAAATATTTAAAGAGTACCACAAACAACCTTTTTAAAATAAAAAAATGGTTATGCTTACATATATAGAATTCACTTCATTAGAAATGAACTTCCATAAATTTTTCACTTCAAGGACAGGTTCCACACTGACACTACCACACTAAAACCTTGTGAATGTGACAGCAAACTCAAGTTCATCAGTAAGAAGCAACAGAATATACTCTCTTCTTTTGAGAAAGTTCCAAGCACGCTCTGAGAGTTGATGATGAATACAACTCAGGTAATAAGAACACAGTGATAAAATATGAAAAAAAAAAACACACATTTTTCAAAATACATAATACATTCTCTCATTAAGATAGCACAGTAAGAATCTTGGTTGCCCATCAAAATTCTAGGCTTTTTTGCAACAAACAACAAAGTAAGAAGCAATAGATTGGTTTATGCATTAGCAAAGAGACTCAACACTTACTTTTGCAAAGGCTTCAAAAACGTCAAAGGAAGGTGGCAGCTGAGAGGCATCCTGTATTTCTTCTCTCATGAAATGATGAAATGTCATTGCAAGTTGCCTGAGGCCCTCTTTCTTATCTTCAGTCAGTTTGTTAATATCTTTTTACAACAGAAAAGAAAAAACACCAAGTGAACTTTCAATGGATAATTTTCAGGTGCTCAAAGCTGGTTGTTAAACCAGATATCTCCTGCAGTATATTTCATTCTAAGACAGAGCAAATACATAGCATTTCACTTTTTTACTACAAATCTTTTTTCTTTAAATTACAAAAAAATAATTTTTATTGGAAAGGCAGATTTACAGAGAGAAGGAAACACAGAGAAAAAGATCTTCTGTCCACTGGTTCACTCCCCAAGTAGCTGCCACATCTGGAACAGAACTGATCTGAAGCTAGAGGTCAGGAGCCAGGAGCCTCTTGCTGGTCATGCACATGGGTTCAGGGTCCCAAGGCTTTGTGCCGTCCTCTTCTGCTTTCCCAGGTCACAGGCAGGGAGCTGGATGAGAAGTGGAGCAGCCAGGACAGGAACCTAGCATCCATATGGGATCTCAACATGTGCAAGGCAAAGATTTTAGCCACTAGGCTACCACATGTGGCCCTTTTAATTATAAATTTTAATATAAACATTATCCACTAAATTCTTCCAAACTCTATTTATAGTGTAAGATAAAACACATATCAAAAAATTAAATGTGCTAAGAAATGAAAAGAATCCTAATCAACAAGCTTCTGTGTCCCCAAATTTTTTTACAACATCTGGCCTTCAGGAACAAGCATCACAAGTGCTTAGGTCAGTGAATTTAGCTTTCTATGAAACAATTTATAAAAAGTTCATAAAAAACTGAGAAACAGCATAATCTCAAAGGCAAAAAGAAAATTAGAGCAAAAAAGTTCGGATAAAATTAAAATCACTAAGATTCTCCTATAGAAAGCATATCAGGCAGAAAACACGGATCAACCAAAGAAATCTCAAGCTAATTCTATGTTGAGATGCAAGACAAGGTGCTACTTCAAACCAAACTGAAGTAACCTGAAAACACCACCTTGAAAAGCAGTTTATAAAGCAGACTAATAAAAAGGGTTTGAAGGCAAAGAATGCGCAATTCAATTAACATTTGAGAGCATTTCACTTAAGGAAATATGACTGACAGTTCTAGGAAAAGCAAATGGTAACAGTAAAGCTCACGGTGAGAGCTGTTAATTCCCTAGCACTAATATCACAAGAAAAAACATGATCAATGCGTTCTCTAATAAAACATGAAAAGATAGATCAAGTTGACTATAGCATAACTGCTGCTCCTGTCAGGTCTATTTATTTCCTTTAAATTACTTGTTAAAGTAATTAATCCACGGATTTCTTAAATAATAATTTATTTCCATTGGCACTTAGGATATCATAACCATAAATCTGTTCCAGCTCATCTTGTTTTCCTGTCTCTATCCACAAAAATTACACTGCATGTGCATTTACTGTGTGCACTCCGGCTAGTTTTGCATTGAAGCCCTTTACAACCTAAGTGAAAGTGATCTGTGCCAATACAAAAGCAGAAGTTACATATTAGCTTTACATCTAGACATGACAGTCTTTGCAGCATCCCAACAGCTGTGCTACCACCATGGCAGTATTCAAGAACAAGGCTCAGGAGGTTCTCAGAGTCTAAACTGCATGTAATTCTGCATTTTCCTCTTTCATTAAAGGAGCAGTAATCCTCAAAGTTCCCTGGAAAACCCAAGTTCACAACATCATTCTTCTCTAATGCAGAAAATAAAGCAGAAGGGGAAACAAAATGGAAAGAATAAAAGAGAGAAGAAAAAAAACACAAGAAGAGCCCAGTACAGTAGCCTAGTGGCTAAATCTTCGCCTTGCCTCCAACAGGGTATACCATATGCTGTCTCAGGTGCTCCACTTATAATCCAGCTCTCTGTCCGTGGCCTGGGAAAGCAGCAGAGGATGACCTGGGCTATTGGGATCCTGCACCCACATGGGATATCCAGAAGAGGCTCCTGGCTCCTGGTTTCAGAATAGCTCAGCTCCGGCCACTGCCACCACTTGGGGAGTGAACCAGCAGACAGGAAGATCTTTCGCCCTGTATCTCCTTCTTTCTGTAAATCTGCCTTTCCAATAAAAACAAAAATAATAATAAATCTTTAAAGAAAAAAAAAAGAAAAAGTAGTTTGTCACCTGGAATAATGGTTACAAATCTCTGCCTAACCTGGCCTTCTTTATGGTGTTTCACAAACTAAATGGCTGAAATTACCCTGAAATAAATTAAACCAGTGTGTTGGCTGTATACCAAAACAAAAGGCTGTGTTAGGATTGTCACACATAAAAACAAAGGTAAAGTTCACGGCTCAATAAGCAAATCATGAGAATTCCTTGTTAAGATACTGACAGTTACTTACTCGACTCCAGGTCATAAAATGTGTAAAGTTTCTCTGATTCCGAGGGTGTTTCCTCCATCTGTGAATGACAGGGAAAACACCAAAATAAATTTCAAGTGGTCTTATATGTGAACTAATATAGCTGAGTGCTTTACAAACTTAAATAAAACTTTACTTAAAAGAATATTTCCCATATATTCTTTCTGCTCACCATTGTATTGTTACAGAGAAATTAGCTAGTCTGGGACAAGTTTAAAATACAGTCCAATGTGTACCTTCACCTACCAGGTTAATCTTCTAATGTAAAACTATTGCATTTTTTCATATTTGTATCTTCCTCCAGCCCTTTATAAAATCGCACACTGAGAGAAGGTGGTTGGCATAGCAGGTAAGTAATTCATTCCTTGGGATGCCTTGCTCCCCTAGCAGAGTGCCATTTCAAGTCCTAGCTACTCCACGTTGATCAAGGATTCCTTGGAGACAGTAGATGATGGTTCAAGTACTTCTCTTGAACTGTCTCTAGGTGTTGCAGGGATTTGAAAAAAGAACTATCAGGGATGGAATCATTCTCTCATTCTCTCTCTCTTTGTGTGTGTGTGTGTCTGTCTGTCTGTCTGCCCTTCAAGTATAAATCAAAATATATATTTTTGAAAATAAGCAAGTAAAAAAATTTAGAATGGCCCTCAAAAAAGTCAATGAATAGCAGCAAAAATGAGAGCTGGAGCCAGCAGTAATTTGAAAAAGACACTCGAGTCTAGCCAAAGGATTTTTTAAAAACTCTATTAACTGTTTTTGGCACTATATAAAACAGAGCAGAGGAAACATTTTCAGTGAATCCTGACTACAGGGGGGAAAAAAAACATAAGGACTCTTCCATTTAATATGTTATCATCCAAAGAACATTCGATTTAAGGAGGCAATCAAAAAGGATATACATGTACCATGCATTAGTTAACAGCTGAAAAGTTAGAAAAGCAATGGAACAGATGTTACGAACAACGTATATTGTAAATATGGGAACCAGAACTCCATCCCCAGATCACAGCGCCTCCAAAGAGCAGCTGTGTACTTATTCGCCACCACCACCTCCACGAGTAGTAAGAAACAACATGCAAATGCAAATGCTTTTGTAAAATTAAAACCCAAGCAACTTCACAAGTTTGATACTCACAAGTTTGACAACTACTCTGCCAAGAAGCCGGACAGAGTCAGGAGGGTATCTGGGTTTGCAGCTTTTAAGGCATTTACATTCACGCTTATGGTCTGGCCAAGCCTTTTTCTGTCAAGACAAGAGTAAGAAAATGATACCAAACATAAAATTTAAATTTCCTTTACTCTGCTTTTGAACACTGACTCATCAACATAAATTTCAACAGCCTAAACACTACTACAAAACAGAAAATGAAATCCATATTCCAACTCTGTAAATGATCAAGAATTCAGTTTTTGCCAAGTGTGCCAGTACCAGGTGCAGACATTGAGTTTTTTTTTTTTTTAAGATTTATTTTATTTTTATTGGAAAGGCAGATATACAGAGAGGAGAGACAGAGAGGAAGATGTTCCATCGATGCTACGCCGATCCGAAGCCAGGAGCCTCTTCCGGGTCTCCCATGCGAGTGCAGGGTCCCAAAGCCTTGGGCCGTCCTACACTGCTTTCCCAGGCCACAAGCAGGGAGCTGGATGGGAAGTGGGGCTGCCGGGATTAGAACTGGCGCCCATATGGGATCCCAGGTGTGCAGGACGAGGACCTTAACCACTGCGCCATCGCGCCGAGCCCAGCAGACAATAAGTTTTAACTGTTTGACTTTGCCTCATGGTTATGACCTGACTGGTGGAATCCAAATAAAGCCATTTGGTCTATTTAATAATGTGTAGTCTTAAATATCAGAATGCAGTGATAAATACTCATTTAATATAATAAGAAAAAAACCATTCCAAACTAGGAAATAAAACACATGGTTCAGGAAAGTCAAAACAGTTAAGTTAACCTCCAAGTTTCTGTATTTTCATGTGAAATACAAAAATATGATCAAAGCTAATTCTCCCGAAAAAAATTTTAAATGTTTTCGTTTTTAAAGGCAACAGAGAAATGATTTTTAGCTAGAATCACAAATGTTCAATTTACTTAAAGCTGTTTGCATGTGTACCTATTACCAGACTTAACTATAATAGTGACTCTTTCCAATCTGAAAAGTGTATGTTTTAGATGATAAATTATATGTTCGTTTAATTCACAAGCATAGCAATGTGTTGGTGTGGCTGAACGGACCAGTAAGCTAATTGCAAATCAAGAGAAGAATGGACTAAATGGAAGGTCACTGCCATACTTCGCCCTGGAATGAGAAATGTCAGGGTACCTTTCACATGGGCTCACTTCCAAATAGAAAATCCAGAGCATCTAATAGTTTGCCCTGGTGAATAGAATATAAATACAGCAACGTTCTATTCTGAGAGTTGAAAGTCCCAGTATTAAGAACATGACAGCCGTGTTTATTCTCATTTCAGAATCTGTGCATCTGCATCCTGGCTTCATGGCCTATAAAATTCTCCTACGAGGATGCCTCATTTCCACCTGCAACGCAAACATGCAGCAATACAATCAAAAATTTTGTAAGAGATGCAGTTATTTTACAACTGTGGCTCACATCCAAGTTCAAACTAGCATTTATCTCAGCAATACTGCTCATGTCAAGTTATTAAGTCACTATCTGTTGCTTCCTACTAATGCAAATCTGGAGTCATTGCTTACAATGGGTACATCACTTCTTCCATCACATATGCTCATGTCTGCCTCACTTCTACTATGGCAATCCTCTGCACCTGCTGCCGCTAATATTTTTAAAATTTTATACTTCACTCTCTTCTGCATAAGACCGAGCTATTACAAAGCAAAGATGTACATGAAATGAATTATAAAAATAAAAGCAGAAATGTTGAAATTATGGTAAGAAAAAACTTCAAGTCCTCAACCTTTTCTTGGCATTCCATGGTGTGATAACCATGAAGCTACACAATTCAAAGAGTACTTAATTTGACTTTCAAAATAATCTGAAGAAAAAGATAACCTTAAAGACAAAAAAAGTAGGGTTCAGTAGCTGAAATCTAGCTACTAACAGACCTAAACATGAAAGAAGAAAATAATAACCCTTACTATGCTATATATGAAGAGCTACATAGCTACCGTGGTTGCATGTTAGATTTATTTGCGTTACCCAACATACAAGATAGAAATCACACACACATGAACTTACAGAATCCTCACCCAAGAGCAAACAGACAGCTTTATCAAATACTAAATCACAGGGTGAAATAATTCCAAGAAAGCTGATCAACATACTGGACAATATCTTTAAGAAAAGTTTGTATCTATTTTTGCAATTGGAATTACCAATTTATACAGATATGCTAATGTACTCACTTGAAAAAATGATGCTTGTATTAAAAGAAAATTCAGTGAAAGAACATGTTTCTATTGTTGAGGGGACTAATCTTGGACCAGCAATGAGCGATTATCAATGAATGCAAGAGGCTTTAAAAATACATGGATCCACCACAATTAAGTTTGAAAACCAGAATGTAATAAAGACTGCTTAGAAATTCAAAACACATGTAGCTTGCTTTAAAGTTTTCAAAAGTTATGCATTAAAAAATCATATAAATTATTTAACATGGTTTCCCATGATTGTTACAGTGCCAGCCTTTGGGAAGTTAATTGGTATTCACTGAGTCAGATATCACTACAAATTTTCATTCTTTCATCTGGTCTCCTTTGAGAGCAGGCTACATAGACAAATTCATGGTAATTTGCACTAATAGGAAAGAACGTGGATAATTTCTATTACTGTTTGAAAAGAGAAGTATGCTTGGAGGAAAGCATTTTCATTTCATTAAGAAAGTTGAAAAATCGATACACACTCTTAGTGGACAGGCCTGCGGGCAGAAATGAACTATATAGTGCCAATGGGTCTCTGAGAAAGCACCTTTGGGTGTCTTCAAAACCCTGATTAAATATCCTGCTTCACAAAGACCTCATTCAGAAAAGTGAGGAGGAAAGGCTTTGAGAAAAAGGTCAAAGGGCACATTTTAATCAATGCCTGGCTCATCTGCTAGAGATAGTTCCATTTCTTTTGGTTAAAGCCTCCAGATTTTAGCAGTCCTGACTCCTGACAAGTATCTCCCAGATAAAGAGCCAAAATGATCATTTAGATGATACTAATTGAGATTAAACACCTGCATTTTGGAGAATTCCAGTCAAAAATCACTTCAGATCGTTAATAAAAAATTTAATAGTGTCTCAACTGCTTTCAGCAAAAGATTTTCACTCTGTTCATCAAAAAGTCAAGTGAATCATTTAGGTATAAATATAGAAAACAATCATACCATTGAAAACCTATCTATAATGTAACACCAGATTGAAGCCTACTCCATTTTTGAGGCATATTAACATACTTAAATTTATGCACTACAGTGTGATATTTAAATGCATGTAATGCAATATAAAATGATCAAATCAGAAAATGGCATAATTTTCGAACATTTATCATTTCTTTGTACTGGAAACATTTAAAATATTTTTGTTTTAGCCATTCTGAAACACACCATGAACTGTTGCTAATTACAGCCACCGCACGGTGCTGAGGGAAACCAGAGTTTATTTCTCCTAATTATTTTCACTCTTTTACCAATCTGTCTCTCCTTCCCCTTTCCCTTTCAGCCTCTAAATGCTGCTTTCTTCTTTGTACTTGTGTGACTTTATTCTTTTCTTTACACTTTTATAATATGAACTGACTTGGTGCCCACATATGAGTAAGAACATGTGGCACTTGTCTTTCTGTGCATGCTAATTTCACTGTCCAGAATACCTACTAGGCTCATTCATGTTGGTATTAATGAAAGAATGTCATTCTTTTTAACCATTTCTTACCAAGTTTCCCTGGTGATCTACCTGGCTGCTAAAACACCTCAGATCTACAGCTGAGTGCCTAGGTTCAAGTTCAGCTCCAGTTTCTTGCTGCTGTACATCCTTAGAAGTAGCAGTGATGGCTCAAATGTTGGACCCTGTCAACCGTGTGGAACATGTGGTTCCCAGAGTAAGCCTGTTTCACCTGCCTTGACCACTGCCAGAGTAGGTGGAATAAACCAGCATACTGCAGACCCACTCTCCACCGTCTTTCAAATGAATGAGTATAAATTAAAGAATAAATAAATAAAACATAAAATATTCATCAGATATTCTTGTTGTAAAGGAAATAAGTTGAGAAATCATTAAGCTCGTGAAATAAGTTAGTCCGAAAATGATAAACACTGTATGTTCTCCCTGATATAAGGCAACCTTCACGCAGAATGCAAAATAAATTGATGCATAGGTAAATAGATATATACATATATTCTCATAGATGGACTGTATAATAATGGAGACTACCATACCAGGAAGTGAAGATACACTGCAACATGCATCTCTACTCTCAAATAAAAGGAGACTCCTAATGAAACTGTTACATATACCTTCACAGTTTGATACCAGACTTTTATCATTGCCTGTACCTACAATGCCATGAAACCCTTAAATAGCCGAATGTTAAATTTGTAACTGTTACTAAAGGACTATACAATAGTAATGAGATAGGGGGAAGTGAGAAGGGAAGATATTTCTATATCTACCAAATTGAGTAATAGAAAATAATAACAATGAAAAAACATGAAAAAAACGAAAGATCTCTAATACAGCCTCTCATTGGTAAAGTGTTATACTCTTATGAGATCCACTTCAAGCAAATATATGAATATGTTCATAAGGACTTGAAAACCACCCACTTATGCTAGCTATCAATGAAATACATTAATAGTAATTTTCCTTAGATTTTTCAATATTAAACTAATGTAAAATACATAAAGATTTTTTTGATTCAATAATTAACTATTATGTGAAACATCACATTTTTCCTGACTTGTTCATTCACAAACACTCTCAGAGATTTTCCAACAGCAAAATTTAGAAAAGCTGAATTACCATGCAACTTGCAGGAAAGAAAAGAGAACCCAGTTTTCCGTTCAACTCCAGATTGTTTGACAGCAAATAAATAATACCTCTTAGTTATGCCTCAAAAGTATTCCAATATTGAACTACATGTTGTCAGATGCATGCAGATCTGAAATCCGGAAAAACAAAGCTGGAAGGCTAAGCACACTCATTAACAGTTACAGCTGAGTGACACATATTTATTAAAATCTTGCATAAAATCTCCTAGAGAACTGTATAGATTTAGTGACAGCCATTAG